ATGAAAAGTCAGTAAAATATGATAATATTTATAAAAGGATTTTCTCATCTGTAAATCCCACTTCAAATTTCTCTCCCATTTTCAAATTACAGACGACAAAATTTGTCTGTAATTATTTTTTATAACATTTCGCACCAAATGGCGAGTCAACTACAAATGAACTTTACAGATGGATTTTTATCCGTATATAATATAGACGAATTTTTCAAAAAAATTAAAAAAATAAAAATCCAAAAATACATATAAATTTTTATTCATCTGTAAACAGCGCTTTTGTGGTAGTGTTTATCAATTCTCTTTTCAAATGTTAAGCCAATTCCATTTGACATGATTATTAAAATTATAATAAGTCTTACATGTAAAAAAAAGTGGTGCATGAAATTAGGGTTTTGCAATGGTTGGGATTCGATCAGCCGAGATTGGACCTATAAAGTCTAATCCAATGCAAATCAAACAAATTGAAAATCATTTCTAATTGATTGTTGTCTTAGATTGGATGAGTTTCATATCAAGTAGATTACATGCATGTTAAGGGAGTGGGTTAAAACGAGTTTGGTCTTCCACTATCACCAAAATAAACTCATCATTACTACCTTCGCCACCACCAAATAGCAAAACTTTATCATTGCACCTTTCACTACCATTGAGTAAGGGCAAGCTACAAAATCTTAACTCTTTCCTTATGGGGTACTAGGTCTTGAAATTTTCACCAGGTTTGGAATTTTCAATCTCATCCTTGTGAGAAATGTGGTGAAAGAGGAAGGAAGTGGATTTGGAATATCTATTAAAGAATGGTATGTCATTATTCATTTTGGACATGTACGAAATAAAAGAGGTCAATAGGTGTTGTTGGCTAATGAAGGAAGGCAGAATAGCTAGGAAGGTAACATTGAAGATGAAGATGAAAACAATTAAGAAAATAAATTACAAAAATAAAGGCAAAACAATAAAGATAAGTGAAGTACATGCCAAATAACAATAAATTGTGCAATATGTAGGCATGAAACTGCGAGAAGTGAAGTGTATAAACAAACAAATATTGACCATATAATAAATATTCTATAGAATTTCCTTCCAACACAATTTGTCTTAGTGAAGTGTATAAATAAATAAATACTAATCATATAATAAATACTCTATATAATTTTTCTTGTTCTTTGAGATTTGATATAGTATGTATCAACATGAAACTCAAAAAAGATTTTGTTCTCTTTAGAAAATTGAGAAATGCTAAATAAATTTTTAAAAATGTTAGGAATAAGAAGTAAGTTGTGCAAAAAAAAATGCTCTCTAATAATTTGAAGATAAGAAAAAAGAATTACCAATGTGTTCAATATTTGCAATTTGTCAATTGACCATTTTGATTCTTCTATCTTTATTATAGGCTGAGTTGCCAAATAGGTTATTAAGACCTGATGTTACATGGTTTGTAGCTTGAGTTAGGGTACCATGCTAGATCAAGGAAGATTTCAAGTACAACCATCGTTGTAGTTGTGGATTAAGTGTCTTGATTGGTATTTTATGAGTTTTCTATTACAATTGCTATTTCAAAAGAATTGTGTGTTGAAAAATCATCTTTATATTGTGTATCAAATCATTTATAACAATTCAAAGCAATGTGATCAAATTTTTCACATATTTGACAATATGATTCGTTTAAAGATCAATTGTCATTTCTATTAAAATTTCTTTCTTACTCTCTAAAGTTCATATTTTCTCTACATTTTTCAAAACTTGTTCTTCAATGACTTGAAGTGTAAAATAAGGCTCAACTATTTTAATTTCTTCCAAATCATCTTCATATTGTGTATCAAATCATTTATAACAATTCAAAGCAATGTGATCAAATTTTTCACATATTTGACAATGTGATTCGTTTAAAGATAAATTAAATAGTTAAACTATCTTTTATAAGTAACTACCTTATTGTTTTTCAAAATTTATATTTAAATAAATAAATAGAGTGATAAACATCCATGCCTTCTTTTGGTCAAATAGAGTATAAAATAAATTACCCAGTTTGCATGACCAGAATTATTTATGCAATGAGATCTGATTGGATCGCTACCAAGATGAGGAGGTGATGAATTTTGCAGTGTGCTGGCATATTTCAGAATAAATAAAAAAGCAAAAATTCAGGGATTGAACCCGACGTTAATCGAACACGCAACCTTCTGATCTGGAGTCAGACGCGCTACCATTGCGCCACGGATCCGATTTTGTTTGGGATTATACTATTTTAAAATTAATACAATGTTTATGCAATTTTTTCTTAAGCCAATTATTCTAGAAAAATATATTCTATAAGCATCCTCACTAAGAAGAGAAATAAGCTTCAGAAGGATACTAAATATTTGAAAAACTTAAGACTCACTATGAGTGAAATTAAATTTAAAATTTGCACATACAATTCTACAAAATTAAGATAATTCTATTAATTTTATTTTGAGAAAAATTGCATGTGATGGACTAAAATAGAAACCTTGAGAAAAAAAAATTTGGGTTTTACTAGGAATCCAAGTCCATATTCTTCTCTTACAATTGAGTTATGAGCTCTTTTATAAGACATTCGTTAAGTTCATGCTCACAAATATGAAAAAGTCATTTTGGATAGAGTTTAAATTCACTATCTATTTGATGATTTTTCCATAAATATTCTTCACAATCTGCTTAGAGATGATGTTATTGGTGCTTATTTTCTGTGAAGAGTAGTCTCTTAGAGTATGTTTGATTTCATTTTTAAAAATAGTTTTTAGTTTTTAAAAATAAAATGTAATATTTTTTCTTTTTGGAGACTTTTAGCCCTTCTTCTAACCAAAAAACAAATTAATAAAGTTAATTTATGTTGAGTTTGAAATTGCTTATGTGGCAAAGACTCTAACTAAGGAGGAAAGAGAAAAATAAATAATAATTTTTCTTCTTATTTAGTTTATGGAAAAAATAGGAAAAAAAATTACTCATACATAGTAATAAATAAATTACAATACAAATATTTTTATAACTTATCTTTTTATACAGTCCAAGTGATTGTTAATCGTAAATTAAAATTTTAATCACTTTTTTATATATAGTTTTTGTTATTTTTACTTATTTTTTTTATTATTTTATATCATATGAAATAAAAAATATTATCAATTTTTTTTAAAATTTATTCAAAAGAAAGGAAAAGAAAAAAATAACTTGTATTACGCTAAATTCTATTTCAATCAATTTGAGGCTCGTTTGAAAGTAGACAATTTATACAAATAGCTTATGAGATAGAATTGAATTGATGTGAATGATGATCCGATGTTTACATTTTCATTCTCTATATATTTTTAAATTTTGATTTAAATTTTTTTATATAAGCTAAATTTGATTTTAAAATATAAAATATGTAATATTATTAATGATTTATCTCATTCATATTATGTTTTAGTTAAATTATATAAATCAATTTAAATATTATATAAATGAATAAAAAACATTTTAATACATTACTAATAGAGGGACTAGATAAAAATGAATTTTTTTAAGAGACTGATTAAAAAATTAAAATATTTTTTTTGAAAAATCAAAACTTTATTTAAGGATAAATTATTTTTTTACATGCTTAGAATATATGTTATCATATTTTATAACAAATAACATTATTAAAAAGTCAACATAATAAATAAGAGAAAATCATATTCATATAATAATATATTTTTTTATTGTTTATTGAATAATTTGATAATTAAAAAGACATTTATTAATTACACAAATCATAAAGAGTGAAATTTGTTAGAAAAAGACAATATGAAAGTGAAATAGCCTTCAATAAGGTTTGAAGAAAAAAAAATCAAACATAACAAATTAAAAACTATTGTAACGTTTTTCATTTTTTAAAACTAAAATATAGTAAACACTTGTTTAAAACTATTGTGACAAAATTATTAAACCAAACAAGTATTTTAAATTTTTTAAATTTTTAAAAATTAGAAAGTGTTTCTAAAAAGTGTAAGCACATGCATCAAATTTTGAATTTTATATTATATATTTTGTAATAAAATATTATAGTCTTTTAAATTTAAATATTTTAAACATTTGTTCTCGTTTATTTTTTTCTAATCTTAAAAATGTTATAATTAAGATAACAGAGATTTCACGCGTTGAGTAGTTTTTTTCAAAAATTTAAATTAATCATAAAAAAATTCATTCCCTCTAAATCTCTTCAACCAAACATCATCATGTGAAGGACATATTATCAGATCAATTATTTAAAAAAATATTTATACTTTGTCATTTCATTTTTATCATGTTATAAAACATTGTAATGTGTTAAAAACTATGCAATACTTAACTTTGACATATAATTTTTAAATTAAAATACTAAAAAACTATACAACTTGAACTTTAATCCAGTCTAAATTATTTTTATTTTATAATTTATCATAATAGTAAATAAACTTCCTAAATATCTAAATATATAGAAGTCGTTCAATTTTTATCTTTAAAAATCTTATTTAATATATTAAAGAAGTAAAAGTAAAATAACATCAAACAAATGTTTCATAATAAATGAATAAATAAATACAGTTCAGTCTTTCTCATATCAAAATATAATATTTTACTTTTTTAATATATAATAATTTAAATAGCATCAACTTATTTAATATTCTAACTAATAAACTTTAAATAATTAATAACATTTTAAAAATTCCGTACATTGCTTTGCTGGATACAAAATATTGTTTTCATCGAAGAATAATAATAATAATTTTTATTATTTTCTTCCTTTTTCATTACAGTCGTGGGTGTAATTCTGTTTGATTCAGGTCGTCATCAATCACCATCTCAACCCAAATTCCCCGCTGTCTCAAGTCAACTTTCTCTTTCTTCTTCTCCGTACTATGCAGAATGCAGTCATTGCGATCATCACTCTCCCGTTCAAGTTCCCCCTTCCGTTTGCATTACGACACAGGGAACCCTTCTATGTTTTAATTTCCAATTCACTCACCAAAACGCCATTCCATTTTCTGAGTATTGCTATTCTTCACACATCCTCAAATGGGTCTCAAGAAAAACGAATCGGGACGCACCGTTTCCACCTCTTTGATGCTCCTCTTGCTGACCCTTATTTCGTGCGCTTTGGCCTACGCCTTCTTCTCTGCAGTGTTCACAGACCGCGGAACCTCTCCAGTTCCGGACCCTGAGATTGAGTCGTTTGCACGCGCCAAAGGCAGTGGCGCGTGTTGCAGAGGAATTGAAAATTTGGAGCTTTGGGGAGCTGCTGTGAAATGGGGTTCTGAGTTCAAATTCAACCATTCGGAAGGGTGCTGCAACGCGTGTAAATCCTTGTGCGCTGGGAACGATGGACCGTGTTTGTGTGATACGTGGGTTTTTTGTGGCAACCGTCACAGTTGCGGATCCAAGTATGGTGAGGTAAGATAGTTATAGTTACTCTTCCTTCCAACCTTCAACTTCTGTTAATTAAAGAGAAATGCTATCTATAATTTAAAAAAGGTATAATTTCTTACAACTCTAAAGAAAGATAAAAAGAGAAAGGAAAAATGTTGTTGATTAAAATGAAATAGTGTATGATTTCATGGATAGAGAAAATATATATAAAATAAATGTTATATAATATAAAAAAAATACAATGATATCCTTTATTTGACAACATGCAAGGAAAATGGGAAGAAAAAAATGGAAGAAAGAAAAAAGTTTATTTTTTAAAGTTTATTTTTCTCTTTTCTTTAATTTTTCAAAGTCAATAAAAATGTGTTGGTATCCGTATTTTTTTTTCTTATTTTTTGACCAATTAAAGCACAAGTGTTTAAAATAGTAGTTATTGTTTAATGAAATATTCTTTCTTAGCCCAATGTTACGTACTTTAATTATATAAATTAAATTAATTAAAAATGATATATTTTAAATTTTAAAATTTTTAATAAGTGTCTTTAAAATAGTAGTAAAGAAATAAAAATAAAAGATCATAAAAAATATTATTAATACGTCTATTGTAATTTATAATACACTTTTAATGTAACTTTATTAATTTTTTAATTAATTTCTTTAAGATATTTTTTAAGAGTTAAGATTTGATACACCATTTTCATAACTATGGATGAAATATGTGAAGTTGCCAGTAAAGACGTTCATACTTAGCGTAATTTTTTTAAGTAATAAGTTTAATTGAAATTTTTTTTAAAACTTAATTAATTAAATAGTTTAAGTTTAAATTTTTTAAAAAATTATTAAGCTTAATAGAATCTTTAAGACTCATAAATTTATAATAATATATTAAATAATTATATATAAAAATATAATATATTTATAAAGTTATATTAAATAAATTAAAATTTAAAATAATATAAATATATAATTTAAAAGTAATAAATATGTTATATAATTTTATTATAAATTATTAAAGTACTAAACTAATTTTTTTATAATTTATTTAGATACAAATTTATAACTTTTTATCGACGTGTCTATTTAAATGGTATAATAATTTATTTAATAAAATATTTAATGACTTATTAAGGTCTTGATATGAATTAGGTTATTAAAAAAATAAATTACTCTTAAAAAAATTAAGTTAGACTTGATAAAAAAATTTATGGTAAATAATAGGCTACTTTAAAATTATGAAATAAGTTAGACATGTTCATATAAAATTTAGTGATACGTAGCCTGTTTTCAGATCTGATCATAACATTGTTAACTAATTAAAAAAAACCATAAATACATTTTTAAAATAATTATTACTTAAGTCAATAATTATTAATGACATAACAATTTATAATTAAATAAAAATATAAAAAAAAGTTATACGATGAATAAATTCGAATTAAATTCATTTGTTAATGACACCTTTTATATATAGCATAAATTGTGAAAGGGAAGATTTTATGTAATTATTTAATTTCTTAGATCTTCATGGTTATCAAAGTCATCGTAGCATCACAATGATAAACCAACTTAAAGACCTTGAGCTTACACATCACATCTCTTTCTTTACATCCTCAACTTGAACAGTCTAAATGTTTTGTTGCACGATTATCTAAGTAAATCGCTACTGGTTCGTTAGCGTGTGACAGAGCATGAAAAATCAAACAAACAACTAATTTGGCTATGGAATATTGATTGTAAGTTGTAACTGCTAAAGTGTATGTTGCAAAAATAGTTTCATTGATGTACCTGATCAAGTGAATTGGAAGAGCTTAGCACAGTTTCCAGCTACGAGTTTCAAAGGTAACAATCAGTATCTCACAGGCTGTTTTAGTAAATTAAATGGGTAGGAACATTTTGGACTGAGTTGTTTTTCGTTTGCAAATTCTTTGGAGTGACTTTATGCGGGTTAGATATGATATTTAGTCTGGTTCTAATTTTTTTCTTCTTTGAAACCGTAATTTAATTTTTCTTTTTATGAATATAGATGTCTGAGTTTATAAGTACTGTATTTTTTCAGTGCTGGTTAAAGAAACAAAAGGACAGCTTAGCCCCCGAACAGGAAGACACAGGGGAAGCAGTTCGTTGGACTTCGGGTCTCATCTTTGGAAAAGGAGAGGTAAGAAAAGTTTGGTGTTTTTAAGTACCAATGGCCAACGGGGGTGCATAATATTATTTATAAAATTAATGTGCTTTCCAGTTATGCTACACATTGACTTCACAGTAATAGCCAAAATATGCTACAGCAAACCACTGCATGATTTGAAAATTGTCCCTCACATACTGGCTTAGAAAAGCATACTGAATTGATTTTAAGAATCGGTTGCAATAGACTCAGGTTCACGCATAACCATATATGTGGTAACATATCCACCATTGATTTTCTAATGTTGGTGAACATTTATAATATGAAATCATCTATAGAATGCTGAACATGTTCCTATGCACAGAGTGTTGAGAAAATTACGCCGAATTTTCTTGTAATGTCAGATTTGTGGAAGTGAAAAATAAATGCGGAATATTTGCACACACAAAATTGACAACGGAGTTCAGCCAATAATGCCTACGTCTCCGGACTGCTGCAGATATATTACTGAAAAAGGGAATACACTTAGTGTTTACATAACACTTAAAAATACTCACAACTACTCACAACCCATAACTTAATTATACCCAAAAGCTAAACTATTTTCTCTCTTTTTCTTTCTCTTATTTGCTCTCTATTTTTCTCTCAGAAATGGATGCAATGAATGGATAGAAGAGCTTCGTATTTATAGGCAACAAAGCATCACAATTTGCTAATTTTCAACCAAAGTTAGGCACCAAAAACGTTAACATTCAACCGAATGTTAGGTACCGAAAATTGGCACACCATTTTTGACTTTTCAACAATCTCCCACTTGAAGACTGATTTCAATCTGTCTTCACACCTCAATCAATGCAGCAGTCTTTTCTGGCTGTTATTCTAGTAGGCCAACTGAAGTTGAACACAACTTCAGTTTGTCAATGATCACCACCTTTGTTAGCATGTCTGTTGGGTTCTTGCTTCCTACAATCTTTTTCAATGTCAGCACCTGATCCTCAAGCAGAGATCTGATGAAGTGATAACGTATATCAATGTGCTTTGTTCTAGAGTGAAACGTTGAATTCTTTGCCAGATGTATTGCACTCTGACTGTCACTGTGCAAAACACTCCTTTCTTGGATGAATCCCAGCTCTGTTAACAAACCTTGAAGCCATATCAACTCTTTACTGGCTTCTGTTACTACTACATACTCAGCTTCTGTAGTGGATAAAGCAACAATCTTCTGTATTCGCGACATCCAACTGACAGCTGTAGTACCAACAGTAAAAATGTAACCGATGGTACTTCTTCGGTGATCGATTTCACCTCCGAAGTCTGCATCTACATAGCCTTGTACTTTTAATTCTCCTTTTCCAAAGTACAAACACTTCTTTGTTGTGCCTCGTAGATACCTCAAAATCCACTTGACTGCTTCCCAATGAGCTTTTCCTGGATTTGTCATAAACCTGCTTACAACTCCCACTGCATGGCCAATGTCTGGCCTAGTACACACCATTGCGTACATCAAACTTCCAATGGCTGAAGCATATGGAATCTTAGCCATGAAGTTTCTTTCTTCCTCCGTCTGAGGGGACTGATCCTTGGATAGGCGAAAGTGACTGGCCAAAGGTGTGCTAACCGGCTTGGCCTTACCCATGTTGAATCTTTGTAAAACACGATTGATATACTCCTCCTGAGATAACTGCAAAATTACTCTTTGCTTATCTCTCGTGATTTGCATTCCAAGAATCTTCTTTGTTGGACCTAAGTTCTTCATGTCAAATTCTTTTGACAGCTGCATCTTTAGATCTCTAATCTCGCTCATATCTGAACCTGCTACTAACATATCATCAACATAAAGTAGCAAAATGATATAACTGGACTTATATCTTTTGAAGAAACAACAGTGGTCGGCATTGCACTTCTGGAAGTCTTCCTTGTGCATGAAGCTTTCAAACTTCCTATACCACTGTCTTGGGGCTTGTTTCAGGCCATACAAGCTCTTCTTTAATCTGCATACCATATTCTTTTTCCCTTCTTGTGAGAAACCTTCAGGTTGATGCATGTAGATTTCCTCATCTAAGTCTCCATGAAGAAATGCAGTCTTCACGTCCAATTGCTCAAGATAGAGCTATTCACTAGCCACAATACTTAAGACAGACCTGATAGTATTGAGCTTTACAACTGGAGCAAAGATTTCACTGTAGTCAACTCCTTCTTTTTGTTGAAATCCTTTGACAACTAGTCGGGCTTTGTATTTCTTAAAGCCATCATGATCCTCCTTCACCCGATACACCCATTTGTTGTGAAGTGTCTTCTTTCCTATAGGTAACTCAGTTAGTTCCCATGTCTGGTTGGAGATCAAAGACTTCATCTCGTCTTTCATAGCAAGCTCCCACTTATTGGCATCTATGGTTTGACATGCTTCTACATAATCTTCAGGCTCTCCTCCATCAGTTAACAACATGTAGTCCATGTATCTCCTGTTAGGCACATGAGGTTGAGAAGACCTTCTCAATACAGGAGTTGAAATAGGAGCCTCTGATGTGTCAGATTGCAGCTCACTGTTCTCTTCAGTTGATTCCTCTGACTGATGATTCTCAACTACAGGATTTTCTGGGACATCATCCACTTCTGCATACACTGGCTCAATCTGTTCTGCATTGTTGGCGCTTGTGCTATGCTTGTCCTTGTACATCACTCTTTCATTGAAGATTACATCTTTACTGCGGATCATCTTTCTGTTTTCATCATCCCATAGGCGGTAGCCAAACTCATCTTCACCATAACCGATGAAAGTGCACTTCTTTGATTTGGGATCAAGCTTACTCCTGCCTTGATCACTAATGTGCACATATGCTACACAGCCAAAAAACTCTAAGATGTGAGAGTTTTACCTCTTTTCCACTCCATACCTCTTCTGGTATTTTGTGCTCCAATGGTACCGATGGACCTCGGTTAATCAAGTAAGCTGCTGTGTTGACTGCTTCTGCCCAGAACTGCTTTGGTAAGCCTGACTGCACATGCAAGCTTCTGACTCTTTCAGTCAACGTTCGATTCATACGCTCAGCTATACCATTGTGTTGAGGTGTACTTGGCACGATCTTCTCCATTCTGATCCCGTGCTCATAGCAAAACTTCTTGAATCTGGTGTCTTCGTATTCACCACCATTATCGGTTCTAATCTTTTTAATCTTCAATCATGTTTCATTTTCAACCATGGCTTTCCACATCTTGAAAGCCTCAAATACTTCAGACTTATATTTCAGAAAGTATACCCATACCTTTCTGGAGTGATCATCGATAAAAGTCACAAAGTATTGCTTTCCACTAATGGATGGAACAGATGTTGGACCCCAAACATCAGAGTGAACAAGCTCGAGTCTTTCCTTCTTTGGGGTTCTTCCACTTGTCTGAAAGCTGACTCGTTTTTGTTTTCCAAGTATACAGTCTTCACACATGTCAATTTCTACTGACTGAAGACCTGGTAGCTTACCGTTTGAGTGCATGATTTTCATCCCTTTCTCACTCATATGGCCTAGTCTCTGGTGCCATAGATTGGGATTTTCATATGCTGCAACTGCAATCAGATGACATGCTCCTGCTGTCTTATAAACAGTACCACTCTTTTTGCCACGAGCAATTACCATTGCACCCTTTGAAATCTTCCAATTATCACCGTGGAAGACTGTTGTGTAACCTTCACTGGCCAATTGGCTTATTGAGATTAAGTTTTTCGTTAGGTCGGAAATATGTCTGACATTTTTCAATTCCCATACAGACCCATTCAACTTAATCTTCACTATACATTTGCCCACAATCTCACATGATTGGTCATTACCAAGATAAACTTTACCAAGGTTTCTGGGAACATAGTTCTTGAAGAATTCTCTCTGCGAAGTGGCATGAAAAAATGCTCCAGAGTCTAACACCCAAGATTCTTCCTTGCTCTCTAAAGAACATATCAACGCATCATCTCTTCCAGAGGTGGAAGCAACATTTGTCTCGTCTTTCGCGTCCTGATTCTTTCGTGCATTCTTGCACTGATTCTTGTAGTGCCCGGACTTCCCACAATTCCAACACTCGATTGCCTTCGATTTGTGGGAACTATGATGACTTCTGGATTTGGACCTCCTGTCCTTTGATTTACCACGTCCATTTTCTCTTATTGAATTTCTTTCTCTTGACTCTTTATGCAATACTGAAGAGGTTGATGATTCTCCTGACTCTCTTCGTCAGATTTCTTCATTGAGAATCAGATCACGAACATCATTGAATTTCAACTTAGTGTCTCCCGTCGAACTACTCACAGCTGTGACAGTAGTCTTCCAACTTTCTGGTAGAGAGGACAAAAGTGCCAATGCTCGTACTTGATCATCGAATTCAATCTCAACTGAACTCAATTGGGTTAGGACTGTATTGAACTCATTTATGTGGTGCGCTACTGATGCGCCTTCTGTCATCTGAAGGTTGAATAACCGCTTCATCAAATAAACTTTATTTGAAGCAGACAGCTTTTCATACATGTCGGAAAGAGCCTTCATAAGATCTATCGTGGTCTTTTCTTTTGCAATGTTGAAAGCAACATTACGGGATAACGTCAATCGGATGACTCCAAGGGCTTGTCTATCGAGAAGATTCCATTCGTCCTCTTTCATGCCCTCTGGCTTTGTTCCTGTGAGAGGTTGATACAGCTTTTTTTGATACAGATAATCCTCGATCTGCATCTTCCAAAAGCCAAAGTCTGTACCATCGAACTTTTCAATTTTCACCTTTCCTTCATCTGCGGCCATCACTCCCACTCAAATCTGACTTCTCCTCAGAATCGTTTCTGACAATTTCTGTATACCACTGTGTTTATAACACGTCTGTGAACAAATTTGTAATGCTGACAAATTTTTTACTATTCACTATTCACGTGAACAGTACTTGCGAGTTCACTATTCATATGAACAGTACCTCACAAAAATTGCAGAATTTCGAACCAGCTCTGATACCAGTTATTGAGAAAATTATGCCGAATTTTCTTGTAATGTCAGATTTGTGGAAGTGAAAAATAAATGCGAAATATTTGCACACACAAAATTGATAACGGAGTTCAGCCAATAATGCCTACGTCTCCGGACTGCTGCAGATATATTACTGAAAAAGGAAATACACTCAGTGTTTACATAACACTTAAAAATACTCACAACCACTCACAACCCATAACCCAATTATACTCAAAAGCTAAACTATTTTCTCTCTTTTTCTTTCTCTTATTTGCTCTCTATTTTTCTCTCAGAAATGGATGCAATGAATGGATGGAAGAGCTTCGTATTTATAGGCAACAAAGCATCACAATTTGCTAATTTTCAACCAAAGTTAGGCACCGAAAACGCTAACATTCAACCGAATGTTAGGTACCGAAAATTGGCACACCATTTTTGACTTTTCAACACAGAGGTCACCTTAAACCCAAGTCTATATTAACCCAACACAACCAAAATGTAATTATTAGGCCTCTGTTACATTTCCTAAGCCATCACTTGAGTAATGTGAAGAATCTAAAATATCTGATAGAACAGCAACTTTGGTATTTCTTGTGTTTTGTGGTTACTTAGTAATCATCTTGGGCTGATTATTACCTTTGTTGTAAAATTCTCTTCTCTTTCCATCGATAGTTGTATTTTACTATCGTCTTTATGATGCATTTCATAGTTGGAATTTATCACCTTTTGATGTGTTATCGTATTTTTCAATACTATTTGTAATCCATCTTTTCTGCAGGGAATTGTTGAACTAGAAACTGAATATGGAACTCTTCGTGTAAAAGTAAGTTGTCATACTTTTAGGAGATCTAAAATGCTAAATGCTTTGACGTGGTTCCAATGACTTCTTGTGCATGTTAAGTTAGGCTAAATGGTTTTGACTTGAATGACTTTTGTTCATAAGTCAAGCTAATTCTGAAAATTCTTTATTTGGTGCAGCTTTTACCTGAATGTGCCCCACACTCTGTTGCCTACATTTTGGAATTGTTGACTTTGCACCATTGTGCAGGTTGCCAATTTTTCCGTGCAGAGAGCCGAGGTCAATCCTGGGATTCAGAAGGAAACCACCTAAAAAATGTATGACTGTTTTTCCTGTATAATGCATTGTTGCATGCACAGACATTGGTATGTGTTTGGTACTGAGATTTAATTATCACTCAATGATTAGTCAAAGATAAAAATAACAAAATGCTTGGTGGATTCATGTCACCTTCGTAGCATTGGGAAGATTGGAAATTAAATGAATCATGTGGCTTAGAAGGCTTTGGATGAAGGGAGCCAAAAGGTGTTGGCACTTTAAGAAGTGTCTTCTTGTTCTTGATAGACAACGGGTGAGGACACTTTTGACATATAGATTGCTCTCTAAATCTTGTGCACCTACTGTTTAGTGTGTCTTTAGATTAGTTGGTTCTTGAATCATCTCGCTTTGAAATTAGATTACTCCATTAGATTACTCCCCTATCAATTTGCTCCCATCACGTCTATTTCATCTGATCGTTGAAAACCAGCAAAAGATAATTAGTTAGCATGGCACAACTGTAAAGGAGTGTGCACACAGTTTCAAACTCCAGACAAAAAATGAGTTCAACTTTCTCCTATTCCAAGAAAGTGGAAACGTGCAATTCAAAAAGAGAAAACTCTAGAGCAAAGAAGAAGGAGAGCACCAGCAGCAATGGGCTCTAGAGACCAAAGGAAACTAAGCAGCTTTTGAAGGCTTAAACAGCAGAGAAAACGTCCAATCTTCTCCCATTTTTTTGCCCACTGTTTTCTCGAAGAATTCCCTGAAGTCATTGTTGTCTTTCTTTCTCTTCTAAAAATCATCACATCTTACTAAGTTTACAGACTCAATAATCTCATTTATCATAGGGTATTGTTTCAACCATTTCGTAAAAATGGGTTCCGAAATAGCATGCACATCACGCTGCATAATATATTAGATGTTAAAAGGCTATTGGATTTTAATGACGTCATTTGCTTAATATTTCCAAAAGAGAAAAAAAAAGAAATTATTTGCATATCTGACAGCCTCAATGGCAGCAAGTTGATGCTTTTAGAGTTCAATGATGGTAAATGAATCCTCATATTTTCAGGCCTCTTTTGGTCCTCCATTTGCTTTGATTCAAGGCACACTGGAAGCCCAGGGAACGATATTGAAGAAAATTCCCATAGAAGATTGCTCTCCTATGAGAAGGGGTTCAGTTGCTTGGGTTGGTTCTGGCCCAGAATTTTTTATAAGCCTTGCCAACCATAGGGAGTGGAAAAAAGAATATACTGTCTTTGGTTCTGTTCTTCCAGAAGATATGCATATTGCTGAGAGAATTTCTGTACTCCCCACAATATCTGATGTTTGGAACAATATCAATGTTGCCGTTTTGGAAAATCCCGTTCCTTTGATGCTGCGGAGAATCAAGAAAAGCCCCGAAGATTTTAACAACAAACTAACTTGAGCTTGAGACAATTCTTTGCTCAAAGTTTTACAGGTATATTGTTCTCTGCTTTAACCAAGGACATACCTATGTTTTTCTTCTCCTACTTAGATCAACTCAAATTTATTCTTATCTTTCTATTTTTCTTTTTATTTCACATTTTATTATTTCATATTTTTTTACCTTTTATCTATAAAAATATATATAGTTTTTATATTTTTTTTCCTTTCACTGATGTTTGCATCTTTCGAAATAATCACCGAATTCTGACTTTCCAATTTACTTTCTGAAAGATTGTGAAAAAAATAATAAAAAACAATTGACCTTTTTTTTTGTAAGACAAAATAATTGACCTTAAGGATACGGGTTCGGCCCAAATACAGGTCCTTAAGCTGGCTCATGACAAAAAAAACCAAAAGGGATGGTGGCTGTTTTTAATTTTTCTCTTTCAGGTAAAAGGGACTAGTGATTATGAGGATTGTGCAATAGCCAATGAGTAAAAAAACGATTGTGTAGGTTGAAGATGAAGCAATAATTGATATGGACAGAAATAATCGCATTATAAGGAAGAGAGAAATGAAAAACATAATGGGAATACAAGACTTAGAAGTCATAGCACTTTCAACAAACGACCTTCTCGTCTTTGTAGAGTTGAGATTCTGAGACGCACCACGATGTTCGCATTCATAACTTTGTGAGTGACACGCAACCTGTTCTAAAGTGAACATTTTTTACCAAGTAGAATTATTATTTAAATTTATGTTTTCTCTAAATAGTTTTAGTTTTTTCTTAAGAAAAAATTGGCTTTAATTACACTGTGTTGGGGATTCTAGCTTGAACTGTCAAAATGGACTATGGTACCTAATTAGATCAATCTAATTTGACCCAACTGGCTCAGTCAGTTTGAGTTCCAAACTTATTTAGATTAGGCAAAAAAACAAAACAAAAAAACAAAATTTCCCATTTTACTTCGATAGCAAAAATGAGAGTTAAATCCACCATGAATTTATATTATATTTTAAAAAAAAAAAGATATATTTTATATTTAAATAGATCAGGTCAATTTGACCTAATAAAAAAACTGAAATAAATTAGCTTAAAATTTTTGAAGTGCCCTTGTAACATAATTGTTATATCCTAAATTACCTTTATGATATTGAAACTACAATACTAACATTTGTGCAAACCCCTGTATCGCCGGAATAGAAAACTTAAATTGTTCCATTATTGTCACCTAATTATAAACTATTACAAACTTAGTGCTTTCTCATTCCATCTCACCATGTCTCTACCATTGAACTACTGGAGAGAAAAGAGAGGAAAGGTCAGTATTTTCTATCTCTAAAAGCATTAACATGAAAAGGAAAAAAAATTTAGCGTGATACAACATCTCTTAATCATGTCCATAAGTTCACAATATAATTTTATTATTTTTAAATGGAAAAAATTACATATTTTTTTTCTAAGATATTACAATCCAAGTCCCTAATATATCTAAAGAACGGCATATTATTGGAATGAGTAAAAATAAAATAAAATTTTCATATTTATAATCTATTTACTTGTTCTTTAAGTTTTTTTTGTTGTTGTGGAACTTGGATGAATAACTTACTTTAATCTAACCTATTTTCCTTTCATCCTAAGTCTTACATGTTTTCACCTTTGTCAACACTTTTTTAGTCTTCTTAATTTTGTAGTTGTAGAGTTCATCAATCAACAAGACTTTATTTTCTTTATTTTTAACTCAATAAACCATCAATTTTGATACTACCGCTAAGAAAAAATTGAGTTTTCTATCTTTAAAAGCACTAGATAAAAAAGAGAAAACAAAAAGAATTTTTTTTAATATGGTTCAATATTTTTACGTTCACAAATTTTAAACATAATTTTATCATTTTATAATTTTTAATTAGGTAAAATTATAAATTTTCTTACGGATTCATCCAAAAAACTATATATTACGATAATACACTCATATTTATAATATTTTTTTTTACTTTTTTTATAAACTTTTTAATATAAAACTTAGATAAATAATTCACTTTAATCCAATACAAAACATTATCACCTCACTCTTTAACGCCACACATCATCTCCTCACGTCTCCTCGGATTACATTGCAAGCATCATCATCAATCCCATCATTGCAAAATAACTATTTCTATCGTCATCCCCAAAGCCTTCTTTTATGAACTCACCGTTATTGTCACAGTGAACATGTGTGTTTGAACTGGCTCAATAAAAAATTGAGAATTTTAGCGGTTGTCAAGATTTTTTCATTTGCTTTTTGTAAAAGCTGACCAATTTTGTAGAAAAATTTTGCCACCATTTCAATTCATCTACTTAAGCGTGAATACCAATTTATACAAAATAGTGGATCTGAAAAACGTAAGTATAAGCCTTCATGACAACATAATTAAGCTTGGAAGAACATAAACATTTTAAATATTCCCTTAGATTAAAGATTTTATGGATCCAACTTTATCTTGATCCTTATCATGACAGGTCATTTGCGCAGATCGATGCTAAGGCATATTATTACGATTCTGCATCATATAGTTAAAGCTTTAATTCCTATGAAAACGGCGGATTGATACTAAATTTGTCTCACTAATGGTCATTGTTCTATTGTGATTTCACATTTATTTTATTAATTAAATCTCATTGTTTCTCCTTCCTGTTTTATTCTTCTGAACGAAGATTTTTTAAGTATGGAGAATATGGTGAGGCCTGGTGAAGAAATTTTAATCCGGAAGATTGTCTATTATCCCTTTAATATATTTCTTATCATTTTTTATTTATATTATTTTATTACTAATTTAATTAAAAAATCAAAATTATTTAAAGAAAGGTAACAATAATTATTTTATAGGGACAATAAACTAACTCTTTAATCCATAAAAAAACTGAAATGATCCTAATAATATGAGGAATACAACCCTTTCATATACACTTGAAAATATTATATTCACATAACAGAATTATACAACATATTTTTCATTCCATAATATAATTTCTCATACACTTGTATGTCCCTGTCTACGATTTTATAGGTTGTCTAGCTTGCGCCTTTATTCAACCCATCCCTCCCAAAGATACTTAAGAGATTATGACTCTCACATTTTTTGCCCACCATCTCACTTTTGATGTGCTACCGAAATGACAAAACGATAGAAGTGATTTCTGTACCGTTCAAAAGACTGCATATTGCGCCCGCATTGGAGTTCAATTCAATCCAATGTTTCCCACTACAAATGAATATGATGGTTGCTTGAAGGGTTTGCCTCTTTCCATGATATATCTCAGTACCACCAATGCAACATCCCTTTAGAATATCCCTTCTGTCTCTTTCCCACAATATGTACATCATATTTACTTCTTTTTACCAATTAAATTGCTTGCTTCGACTGTAATTCACACTTGAATTTCTACCTTAGTTTGTAAGCTCTGTACACTTGAATTCACTTCATTAACACCACCCATCTCAATCTCCTCCGCTTGATAAGTAGAGTGAACACCGTAGAGCACATAAAAGATGGTAATGAAGCATGCCCATATGGCAAATCGTTGGAAAGAGAGGATTTTTAGTGTAGTCATAAGGAAAACATTAAGAAAGATGGACATGGCTGGAGGCCATGGCATGAATGGCACCGACCAATGTTGAGCATTATTATCTTGGGCAAGGTTACTAGTATTAGGCACAATGTGTTGGAAGAAGGCTGTGATGGTGATCATGAACCCACCAAAGAGAAGTAGACCCCACCATTGCTGCTTGAATTTCCACGCCATGGAGAAGCATAGTGCACTTAGAGAAAGGAGAAAGAGGAACAAGAGAGTGTGCAATGGTGGGGTATGACTAGTGATTACATAGCGACGGTATATAAGAGCATTGGCTACCATGTAGAACACCAACAGTGTGCCGATGCTGATCAACTCAATTATAATGTCAAGCTCAGTGAAAAGCGCAATAAATGCTGTGCAAAATCCTACATTAAGAATAAAAAAAAGATATATTTAATATAGTTTCATTCACATTTTCCTTTATTTTTCTTGTGTTTTTGTTCATTGGCCTACACCTTCCCGTATTTGTTCATTTTCCTTCAATACAAGCATCTTGCTGAGTTTTAAAGTTACCTAGTCAAGTATGAATGTTATATAAAATTTTAAAAATACAAAACATAGGATGAATAATGCGATATTTAAATAACTACAAAGAAAAATACACCAAAAAAAAATGTTAAAAAAAAAAAGCCCAACCATATGTTTAGTTTCTCTTGAGATTAATTAATAGCAAACTAGAACTAGTGAACGAAACTTAATTAGTGTTGAAGTTTTTTTTTAATTTTTTTATGACATATCAAGAATGAATATACCATTTCAACTTATGGCATTTATCTAAACTTTCTCGTTGACTTTAATGTTTTAGAAGAAACTATAATGTTTTGAATTTTTTTTATTGGATTTTAATGTTCTATATGTGAATATTAATTGAACAATTTTCAAAGCTACTGTATTTTAGTTTTTGCAAAAAACATTAAAAGTATATTCAGAATATTATTTGAGAAAAATGAGATGAAAGTTGCTATATTACACTGATTAATTGCAATTTGAGATCAAGATCATTTTAAACACTAAATATCTAAATTTAAAATACTTATTCTTAAATTACAAATTTACATCAATATAATTATATATAAATTTATATAACTTCTTCGAACAAAAAATAATATATCATAGGTCATTAAACTTTCACCAACATTTTTTAATTATATATATATACTGTTATAAATAAGATTAATTCCCAGCATCTATTCTTTTTTAATCTAAAGCTGCTATTATTAATTGCTTGTCTACGATTTAAAGATAAGTATGAAAATAATAAAATGGTAAACATTTCTTATAATTACGATTATTTATCTTTCAACCACTTTATAATACTCGTTATCATTTTAAATATTATTATTTTTTTAACAAAAAGTTAAAATACAAATTGATAGACACATAATGAACCAATAAGCTGTAGAATAAAGTTAAATAAGCTGTAGAATAAAGTTATTGAGAACTGAATACATAAGCCCTGCCAGTAATAAATATGATTGAAAGTTTTTTCTATAGCAAAGTAGGGGAGAATAAGATATATAATATTTTATAAATAAAAGTTAGATTAATTATTTTGATTTAATAAATTATACATAACCAAAAAAAAAAGTGTACGTAAATATTAAAACAAAATTGTTAATGATTATAGTGTAATTGATATGTGACCTTTGGGTGATATCAAATCATTCTGATATATATTGAGCTCTAGAGAAACATAGCATATTGAGATATGTGAAAAGTCAATTAAGTACTTATGCTAATAAAATTCGTAGACCCCACCAACTTAATTATTTGATTGAAACAAAATTTAAATATGATTAGTCATTGAATAACGGCCTTAATAAGTATAATTAACCCAAATTACAACTATTTTATTGCAGAATACTGAGTCATTTTCCATATCACTACTCATTAGATGCATGATAGTCAAAAGTAATTTTCCTTAGCCTAAGGTGTGAGTACAATGACATATATGTGAAAAGTACGTGAAGATATTTCAAGAGGAAATTAAAAAACAAAAGCTCAAATAGATGAACCTGAGATAAGCAAGGTTAAGGCGTAGAGAATTATATTCATATAGCAAAATTATACAATAATTTTACAATCACGAAACAAAAAAGTGTGACACGGTAAGCGATATGAGGGGGAAAAATATTATAAAAATTATGTAAATGAATGTTGTAGTAATATATATTACTCTAATACATGAAAAAATTGCTTACCCAAAAAGACTGTTGCATTCAATGGGGTGCCTGTTGAAGGATGTACTTTGGCTAACCAAGTTGGCACCAGCCGTGCCCTTCCTATGACACAAAGGTATCTTGCTTGGCCTAACATGGCAACCAAGAGAGAAGCCGCTATACCTAAACTTGCTCCAGCCCCAACAAGGTTGCTCGCCCAACTCCAACCAATTTTGAGAAAAACTACTGAATATGATGCTTTCTCTGATATCTATTAAATCATAGAAATAATACAGCTTTATCACTAAAAACAACATATATATATTATGGGTATGATGCATAATTATTTGGAGGTCCAATTCAAGCCTACAAAAAAATTAACATTAAGTACTAGAGAGGTTTTATTGTGATACTATAATTTGTTTGATATACCACTGACCTTGTTGTAAGGAACCATCATGCACAGAGACAGGGCCATTAGGCAATAAAGCAAAGTGGTTATGAGAACTGATCCCACAATTCCAATGGGTAGGCTCTTAAAAGGATCTTTGACCTCCTCGGCCATAGTTGAAGCTGAGTCATAGCCTATGTAACTGAAGTAGACTATTGCTGCTCCATCAAGAACACCTCTAACACCAAAAGGAGCTAGTCCTTTGGGATTAACTAAGTTTGTGGCACTTCCATTGCAATAACCAGCGACTATGATGAATCCAAAGAAAATTACATGGAAGGCTGTCATAATGAGGTTCAATAAGGAGCTTTCCTTTGTACTACAATCAACCAAAAAAATAACGATAAATTAATAAGAATTAAACGAGCACTTTCAAAATTCACTAAACTCACAAATATTAAAAAAATGCAAATAGTTTCGGCATTCCATGATTAAATAAAGGCAAAATAGGTAATAAAAAGATAGTTTGCTAGTTGTCACATAAAAAGATAATATTAAAATCTAGTCCAACTGAAAATGGATGTGATAATAAGCAGATAGCATCATAGCAAAACAACATATATTCCATACTGAAGGATATTAAATAAGAAATATTGTAATTAGTAATACCAAATAAATTAATCAAACCTATGGCACAAGCAGAGAGTGAGAAGAAGAATAAGAGCCACAGCGGGAAAATCCAACATGTTATAATCCTTGGGCAATCCATGGACTTCCACTCTCCACACATTTGGATCATTTTCTCCAAACGCAATGCTGAAATATTCTGTAAAGCTCCTTGCTACGGCAGCGTTTGAGAACACATACTCCATTAATATATTTGCCCCAGCAAAATATCCCAAGAATTCTCCTACACAAAACAAATAGGTAATTTTTAAAAACGATTTTTTTTAAAAAAATAATCACTTATTTTTCAAAACTATTTCAAAAAAATAATAAAAACAAACGATTATTTCTTTAAAATAAGATAAATCAAACACGTACTAAACTCAAAAGATATAGAAATTTTACTAAAACCCTATATATACATACAGATACACACACACACACAGAGAGAAGGTATGTACCAAAGGTTAATCTTATATAACTGAAAGCTCCTCCTGCAACTGGGACTTGAACAGCAAATTCAGTGTAACACAAGGAAGAGAGAAGGGCTGAAATTCCTGCTATGATATAGGAAATAAAGACTGAAGGACCAGAGTGATGAAGGGCAACAGAACCAGTTGTGACAAAGACACCAACACCAAGCATTCCTCCAATGCCAAGAGCAACTAGATCATACCACTTGAGCTTCCTCTTCATGTCAGCACCAGACCTTTGCCTCACTTGGTTGAATTCTTGGTCTGGGGTCCAAGTGGCAAGCATTCTTTTCCTAAGCCTGTGAGGAGTTTGGGAGAGGGAATGCAAATAATTTGACAACTTCTTCAGGCTGTTGGTTGCAGTGTGAATGTTAGACATTATTGTCTATAACCAATGATAATGATATCTCTTTCTTGGCTTCAATAAGGAGTGGATTGAAGGTTTTAAATAAGGTGTTGGGAGAGGGAATATTGCTTGGTTCCTTTCCCCAAAGTTGATAATTAAGAAGGCCTAGCCACTGTCCCTAGCCTTTTTGTGAGGTCGTGGATAAGGGCAGGCCAATTAGAGACCATCCTAAAATCTCTATTTTTATCATGAAGTTTTATTTATTGTTAATTTTTTTTTTTAGTTTTCAAATTTTCGATTTTTTTTTATTTTTTATTTTTTGCAAAATGGTATCTAGATTATCTTTATTTCTTTTATTAATTAATATTTTGAATTAGTTTTTATGTCTGATGGGATATTTATAATATAGTTTTAGATAATTCTTTATAAATAATAATTAGGAAAATAGAAATAAAAAATTTATTAATATATTCTTATCACAATTTTTTATTATCTTTAACAAGTTTTTTTAATATATTAATTAATAAAAAACCCTAATAATTATTATCAATTTCTAAACTTATTCCCAATTTACTGCTAGATTCCTTAATTATTCCTATCCTTTAATAATTATATTAATTTTCATTTGCTAGTATTTATGAACTTAAAATGTTCATTTGCTTATTCTCTTCAATGTTTAATTATTCTCTTCATTTTGTTACTCAGATTTGCCTAGTTATCCGACTTCCTGTGTCTCTTTGTCTATGTGTCTAACTACTTATTTATCTACCTGATCTTTTCTCTATGCTTGTGTTTTCTAATCACTATTTATCTTTATATTCATTTAACGTGAGTTATTAATTGAAGTTCTTGATATCAAATTATTACTTACTATAAAAAATTTTAAATAATATTTTAACCTTCAATTTATATAATTTATATTTTTATATTCTTTTAAGAATAAAATGTTAAATTTTATTAATTATAAACAACAATCAATCAAGTTTTATTTATCTAAATAATCGACTACGTGGTATTAATTATAAAATTTCAATAAATAATTTTGCATCTTAAAATGATAAAAGTAAAATGAGATTGCTATAATCTAGATTAGACTAGTAGGTTTCTTCAAAAAGAAAAAAAAAACTTGTCTAAGGCCCTAAAACTTCTAGCCATGACCTAGTTTTTGAAAGTACCCACCTTTTTCTTTGACTTTACGAATATTAACAATCAAGTCATCTTCTCCTTCAAGAATATCTCACTTACAATCACAATCCTGGGGAAGACGAATAATTGGAGCGTATTTTCTGAATGAGAGCATCCAACCAAAAATAAGAAAGAATAACTAAAATGAGAAATGACACGGAAAGGCTTAAACTGTTATTAAAAAACAATAAATGTTAAAATAAGAAAAGAAAAAAAGAAAAAATTTTAAAAGTAAAAATGTTATTAATACTATACATATATATCATAGTTTTTAATAAAAAAAATACAACTTTATAAGAGGAATATCACAATATAAAGAGACTCAATTTGACCTAAGTCCTGGGAATTTTCCCTGGAGATGAAACACCGAAAATAAAGAAGTGACAAGCATCTACAAAAGCACCAAAAGGATTTCTTCATTAAGACTCAAGAATAGTTGGACATATGATTCTGCTGTACAAAATATCACATGGTGCAGCGTGTGGCCACTAATACAGTCGTGAATTGGTGCTTTGTATGATATTAATTAGAGAAAGGAAACAAGTGACCGTTCTTTATTAGATGGAATCATTCTGTATAAATAGTTTAGCAGGACCAAGAGTATTTCCTCATTTTCAGTACCATCAATCCAAGAACAACACACTAGTTCATTAAAACTTATCTCTTTTTAATCAAGCTTCATATTTTCTCCCATATTTTTCTTTGGAGGGAACAGGAACCAGTAGTCACGTGACAGCCTATAATACCTATAATTTAATTATAAGTTTAATTGCACTTTTGGTTCTATACTTACTGTCTATGTAAATTTTGTTCTTCTAATTCTAATTGTTATATTTAATCTCTTTAATTTTTTTAATTGTTTAAATTAGGTCATTTACTCTAAATTAAATTAAGACTTTTAATATATTTATACATTTTATTTTTTATTTTTATTTAAATAATATATATATATATTTGTATAAATTAATAAAATGTCATACCTCTTATATTTTTATTAATTATTGGATAAAATTTTAGAGTAAAAAAGTTAATTGAAATATTTGAAAAATTAAAGTTATTAAACGTAAGCAATCAAAATTACACTTGATTAAAAAGAGTACTAAAGCTTTAATTATATATATATATATATATATATATATAACAACTCTTCCTTCTATGAGTAACATTCAAATTCAAAAACTTCATCTTACTGGCCTAGCTAGAACGAACCTTATTGATAACAAACGTAAGTTTATTATAAAAGATCGAAATTAATTAAGTTTAATTACATGTAGATACAATTATACATGGTTCATTCGTGTACATATCGATATGGCTTGCTCCGGGTTTATTAGTGTCCTTAATTTGACCTCATGTGTACTTGTCAAATCACTTTTAATTTTAAATTAATCCTGGACCTAATGGCGCTAGCTAGCTTGCCACTTTATGGGTTATGAGGTACAGTTTGACTTCAATTAAATTTGGAGTAGGTGAAAATTTATTAAAATTAAAGCCTATAAACCTAGTGCACCTTGTATCATACTACTTGCATGGAGATTATTAGGTAGCACATCCAATTAAAGCATCGATCACAAATATTTAGCTTGCGTCTTCATGACACTTGAGATGATTCGAATTTCATGTGACTAGCAAGCATGCCATGGCTCTCTGTTAAGGTAGTAGTAGTCCTATATTTCAGGTTTCGTAAAAAAGAAATACACATTAAATTTTTAGAATTCCAACTGAATCAAATCCCTTGAACTTTTTATTGAAATTTATATCGTAACATATCCGGAATCTATATCCAACTCTTCAAGATTTAAGTCTAGTAATTTTATGACTCGTGTGGAGTATAAACCTACTATATCCTATTTTGAGATAAATATATAGTCTCAAAGTTCTTCTATATCCATAACACTTACAGCATAAAGCTTGACGCTTATCTAAACTTTTGGGTTGATTCAGTCGGTGTATTTTCCCCAATAGGATTGCGAGAAGCATTTTCAAAAGAAAAATCATTGGGGAATCCGTTTTTGCAGTTAACAGTTATAGTAAAACAAAAAATTTTATTTACACAAGTCAAGCAAGGTTATCTTGCGCTTTTTCTAAGGAAACAGAATATTAGTGGCAGCATGACCATGGTGGTCATGTTGTAAATCTTACTCTCAATTAAAGTTTATATATATTTTTTAACTTGAGAATATATATAGAGTGGTCCATTACCAACACAATCCACTCACCACTTGCAATGGGAAACCTCTAACTGATAATTGGTTCTTTTATTTGCCAGTATTTATCTACATGAACAGGTAACTTGAAGTTATTTAATTGCTTTGTACGTGGTTAGGTTTAAATCGTCAGTGATTAAACAAAATCTATTTTTTACTAGTACTAATGTTTAAGATAAATTGTCAAACATTTATCTATTATTCAGTATATTTCAGAAAACAAAATTTGTTAGAGAGCATTCCAACTTTTATAGTCAAAATACCTGTGAGATTTTCACAAACTAGTCCTTAGAGTGATGCTAATTTTATAAATAACAAAAGTTTAAAATACCAATTTTAAGATAGAAACACAACCTCTTGCTATAGATATGCGATCTAAGATAAAAAAACTCATTTTAATAAGAGCTACAACCCTATTAATATCAATAATACCTTGCTCATGTATATAAAAAAATCAGATAGTAATAAAAATATATATTAATTAAGTAATGAGATCATAATCAGATGGATTCCTCCCTCCCAATCGTGGATATGTTTAAATATGGATAGAGCTAGTAAAGGTAATTAATATGAGGGACACTACAACACCCAATTACTGATTGCGGTGGATTGATATGGCATGGTAATTGGAAACTTGGGACGCTCGTCAGCTTACATAATTGAATGTTGGAAGCTGGCTTGGAAGCTATGTTATAAAAGGATTGAATTCAGGTTGACCTCATGATCATTGTTAGCAATTTGTTAGGCAACTTAAGCGTAAGTCATAATGATAGAAGCTAGATTTCGAGAACTCGCAATACTTAGCTACAACTGGGAGGTTTGTATCTCCCATATTCAGAGAGAAATCAACTCCTGTTTTAGTCAATATAAACTGTTTGATGATCCCAAAACAGCCAACTCCTTTGCTTCTGTGATATTTTGAAAGTGAATAGTCCAAAATTTACGTTAACACTGTAAATTTATGGTTTTTTTTTTTTTTTAACTCTTAGCCCGTTTGAATTATCAAAAATATATATAAATTAATTGAGTAAACTCTTAAGTCAATTTTTTAATTATATCAATCGCGTACTTTAGTTTTTAAAATACTTATTTTATTTTACTTTATTTTATATGTCATTTTACAAAATTAAAAACTAACAAAATTTTAAAATCCTAAATTTTTCTTACTATTATAATTTTTGTTTAGGGCTTTAAAATCTTAAAGTTTTATTTGAATAAAAAAGTAAAAGCACATTTATTGTAGATTTAAATTATGTATGTCATAAACAATAAGTTATAAATTAATGATAAATATATTTCTATCTTTTTAATTATGCACATATTTTTATATTAGACGAGTTAATTAAATTAAGACATTAATATAATTGATATTAACCATATGATATAGTAATATATATATATATATATATATATATATATATAAGTACAGATTTGTTCACACTATACGTTAAATTTAAATATTTATATTATTTAATAATTTTTTTATAAAATATGAAATTATCCAATTTAACCATTGATTTAAAATTCTTAAAATATATCAACTTTATAAAATTTTATATAAAAATAAAATTAATAGATATTTTATCACGTTATTTTATTTTTAAAATTTAAGTGAATATTAAATTTAATATAGTATATCTA